GGGGGGAGAGGAGATACAACACAACTAGCCCGAAAACAACAGGGGTGGGGATGCATGGGAGGGGGACTTAAAATGTTTGTATTTAAAGGGTGCTTGCAAGGTCTTCGGCACAATATGTGCTGCTCTCCTTAAAGGGGCACTGAGTGCCAGTAACCATTAGTCATCCAGTAGGGACTTTTCATTACAGATCTATCTTTAGGGGGAGTTCCCCGAAGTCTCCGAAGGGAACGTAGCTGCGGATTTCAAACCCGGTCCAGTTCCAGTCACACAGTGCCTGCGTACCTGCTGCAATAGAAGGGAGAGATACTTACCAGAGTTTCGGGAGTGCGCGGATAGCCCAAAGGTCTCTGCAGCGCTCCTTTCCTCTGCGGAATACTATCTTGCATCCGAGGCAGTTCCCACTCTATATCTGATGTTAACATTTATGCTATCTCAAACACGAGGCTCTCCCATAGACATTTTTTCCGGGGTTTTCAAGCAAATTTCTCGGTGCCACAATGTTATGATGGAAGGATGCTGAAATGACAGGCCTCGTAGACGCTTGTCTTAATCATCGGCTTCTTAATTTAGTTTTAGTGCTGTGGTTTTGTGTGTGTGCGTGTGTGTGTCTGCGCGTGTGTGCGCGCAAGAGAAGCCTCTGACAACCTGCAGCTTCCTAATGACTGACGAGGCAGGGCTGCTGCAGCAAAGTAACACTTCCCTGGTGTGAAGACCTCTTACTGGGAAGTTTAGTTCACTACTGTTCTCGCAACCCTAATCGTATAACCTGTAACCAAAACCCATGGAAGAAGGATACAGCATGCTAAATAGACTAACTTCTAATCACTAAACGTTAGCACCACTACCAGCTGTTGAGGATTAACTGGAAGTTGGCTAGAGACGGACACCTAAACTTACATCTACGAATGCGGATAGAAGGGTGGACCGTTGAATACTTCTTCCTCTCCCTCTTTGCCTCCATTCATCCATCCACCTTCAGTCCCATTCACGCCTCTTCGAAATGTTTGACTACCTCTTTCTCTTTGTTAGCGCACCGCTCCGTCCCCATCCGCCATGCCTTAGCAGCAGGGTATCGGTGGCTGCTGAGCAGCCCTTACCTTAATTGCCCAGGTAACCTGGAATAAATAAGGCAAGCTTAGAGTCAAGGGGGAATAGAATTATACATGCGTACCTCCAGGCATTTACTGTACCGAATGTGATATTGCTCATTGTTAAACCAAAGTGTCCCGACTCGTTTCATGGAAGCATGATGCCACCGAAGCGTGGTTATTAAATACCCTTTCTTTATGGCTGAAAAAACCCTCATTCATTTCTTAAGCTGTCAGTATATTTTAGCAGCTTAACCCCTTGAAAGAGCCTGAGAGTACAGAGCCGCTATACCCGTGTGAAGGGGGATTGGAGGCTGGAGCTGGGGGGTGGCGGGGGGTACGTTATATCCATTGAGCTTACAGTGGAGAGGTCCTTTGGCCTTTAATTAAAAAAAAAAAAAAAATACGAGGGAGAAAAGTGTGCGGTTGAAACACTATCCCTACGAGTTATACCCAGGAACTGCACGGAGATCGCTGTTGAATGGCACTTCAGCCAGGACGTTTCGGCTCAGCTATTCACCCCCAACCCTGACCCCGGAGCTGGACACTCTCAGCCCGTCCCCGCCGCTCAGTGAGGCGGGTCCACACCGCAGGCGAGCGCGCAGGTGAGGGAGCGTCCACGCTCCGCAGAGAGCCGGGTCCCCTCTGCACACCCACCCGTGTTTCGCAGGGTTGGGGCCGTGCGCTTCCGTTCTACGCACAAGCTTCTTCTCCAGACAGCCCACAAAAACTTCCCTGTTGGCAAATGCTGCCGTGAGGGACCTTCTTGCAAGAACTCGAGTTTAGCCGGAGCTGAGGGGTCACATCGGCCGCCCACGCAGTGCTACGACGCACAAAGCTACCACTGAAGTGAACGGGAGTCGTGGCCAGGGCAGAGCTCAGGGGAGGACTGGCGTTAGAGCAAGACTCCCGCATTTCCAAAGTAAATATCTCCAGTTTTATAAACGGAGAATTTTCTGCGGAAGAAAAAAAAATAGAGGGACTCGAAAGTTAAAGTCCAGCAGAAATAATAATTGACGTGGCTTCTCTTACATATCCTTTTCTGTCCTGTAAACAGTGAATTAATCTTCATGGGCTTAGAAAGATATGCACTACACAATGGACGCAACATTTCCTTTTTTGGTAGAACTGTATATCCACGGCATTCAAAAAAAATATAATATAAATCCTAAGTTTGTGCACAGAGCTTTATTCTGCACCCATGACAAATGACTGAATGTTAAATCTAGATCATCAAACGTTTTAAAAGCGTGGTTCTTTCGGTGTTAGCCCTGTGCTCAGGAATGCAAAAAGAGAAAACGTTTATTTTCTTCCCTGCTACGTCTTCGTCCCTGATCACAACGCAAAGTAAACTCAGCTTTGACCTAAGAAACACCTCAACGCATTAAAATTTCAACAGGCAATGTCAGTGTTGCATTAAACGAGAACTCCTCCAGTTCGCTGCAGAGCTGGGATTTGAATAAAACGTTCAATGTTAACAAACAATACACACGTTTGGCACTTTGTGTATTAAATGGATCAAAGAGATTTGATAAGTCACAATACACCATTTGTACAGACCTGATTGAGTTAATATAATATCAGCAAATTTTACAGCGAAATGAATCTGTTTCTCTTCTTTGTGTTTAAAACCAGCACAGATTACAAATTTTAATGATCTGAAAATGTTTGGTATACAAAATCATGCTTATTTCAGTATTAGCAAAAACACAAGAAATTTTTCAACACAAACACCCAGCTGTGTCTATTTTAAAAGCAGTTCAATGACAGCTTGCACTTATGAGCATGCAATCAGCTAATTTCGCTTTTTTTTCTTCTGTGTTAATCAACACTTTCCTTCCTGCATATCAGAGTACAAATAGTATAGTTACTCCACATCAGTAAATGTTTACGTAACCTGTCCTTTCTCAAGAATCCGGTTACACCGAATCATTACATGCTAGACCGAGTAGGAAAATGCACTGGGCCCAGCCACCCTAATGGGATCCTAGTGCACCATAGTGACACGTATTAGTTAATGATCATCATAATCATAATAATATGCGGGAATCTTACCTTTCTTCTTACCCCTTGCCACGGTAGAGTCAAGCCATAGCCTCCACATCGCACTCTTCCTCGAGAATTCCCATGCACTGACTTCAGTGTTGAGCAATGAAATAATTACAAATTGACATGGTGATTTTTTTTAAACTGCATTTCTAAAAAAAAAAAAAAAAGGAAGTAAAAAATAAGCGTGGTTGATCATTGACTTTTATCTCTTTTTTTGTCAGTTGCAACCTGTTATGAAATTGGATAAATAAATACAATTGTGCTAAGGTCATTCGAGGTTAATCCAATGCACAGAGTTCACGCCATTCCCAATTGCAATTGTTTATTACCGGCCCATTGTAATTGTTCTCGTTATTTACTCTCTCTTTCTCACACTCGCTCTCCCTCGCTCACACGCGCACACACGAACACATGGATAAAACGCACATCTCCACACAACCACGTTTGCCGCACTGAGCTCTAACCTGAATTTCCCCGGCATGAATTGTTTTAGCTGGGGTTGAGCTGCACGTATTATTTCTACGGAACGTTTTTTCCTACAGCACGAACGTAAACTTTAGGCAGCTTGACGCGGCGCTGTACGTGGCCTTTGCCTACAGCTTCGGTCTGAATGCGATCAGCACGCTCCCCATCCATCACATTTCCCCTTCTACCTCCCGAGGAAGAAAGCTGCGCGATATATTTCGCTTTGTTTCAGGGTTGATTTTTTCCCCCGTGCTGACAGTAGGAAACGGTGCGATGTGGACGATTAACACTCGGTTCCTCGGTCCCGGGAAATTGTAGCCGTAAGCCTGAGCCTCTGCATGAATTTAAAGGACGTTGGGCGGAAAGCGGCGGTACCGGCCCGTTTCATCTGCCCCGGGAGCACCCGAG